ATCAATCAATCAATCAATCAATCAAATCAATCCATTTATTAATGTCATGCATGGGAAGAGGTTCCCTTGGCATCCAAGCCAGAGGCTCATGTATAAAATGCATGACAAAAAATTCAAAAAAAGTTAAATATCAGTCAAATAGATAAAATTATAATATATGTATGGCAATATGACAACATACTAACACACCATAAGAGGAATTTTTTAACTTCAGTCGGGGTGGGTGAGAGAGCATATGAACCTTCTTGCCGGGTAGGTGAAGCAAGTGGTCCTTTGAAAAGACTAACAAATTGCTTCTTTCCTACTCCCCAGATATTTTTTTGTACTTATTGTGTTTGGTCATTTGCATATTCTAGGGTGGTAGTAGAAAGTTATTTTTTTTATAGCAGTATCCAAAAGAAACATGGCGTCGTGTGTCGTGGCTCTCTATGGTAAAATTCGGTACTTAGAGCCAAAACACACCTTTTTAGAGATCCAAATGTTAAGGAATAATTATCAAGAAGACTCGACAGCTGGTTAAGTGAGCAATAATGGCTTAGAAGCAATGATATTGTCCTTCGGGTTGCAAGAAGGTCTGAATCAAAGGTCTCCATGAATATATGTAAATAAAAAAACTGCCGGAGGACAACGGGGCAAGTTTAAGATGTACTTTCTCGTTTATGATATCGTAAAGTCCCACGTTAAAGCCCTGGNGAAGCAATGATATTGTCCTTCGGGTTGCAAGAAGGTCTGAATCAAAGGTCTCCATGAATATATGTAAATAAAAAAACTGCCGGCGGACAACGGGGCAAGTTTAAGATGTACTTTCTCGTTAAAGCCCTGGGTTTATATGACTTCATAAGGGGTTTTTGGTGGGCTTATAAACTGGGGGCTTATATCCAGGAGGGGGACATATAAGCAGAATAAAAAAATGTTTCAGAACGGCGAGATAAAACGTATCTGAGAAACGAATTAAAGCCAACATACCTTTACATTTAGAGCTGTTACCCTATCACTCTATTAGCCCAGAACTTTGGATAAAAAAACTTTGATGTTTGTGAAGGACGCAAAAGGAACGCACATAGATGTAAACTCTTATACATTAGATCTTTGTTAGCAAATAGAAAGGCTTATATCCGGGGGGGTTATAACCGGGGATCTTTAACGTGGGATTTTACGGTATGGAAATCTAACTAGTTCTACCGAATGTATCGCTTATCTCCTATCATGTACATTTACCGGCTTGGATTCTTGCAAAGTCACCCAGTGACGTGAGGTCTACGCCCCATAAGACTACTCAATGCAAATAGCTATCCGAATAAAATAGATTCCAGACTGGTCAGCGGACTACTCCTACGGACACCCTCTACGGACCCCCGCTATGGAACATCCCGATATAGACTAAAAACAATAAATAAGGATTTCACTTACGGGTTGTCTTCTAGATCACCCCTGTCGGCGAAATTTCGAACGTTACGTTGTGTAAATGTAATAATGTCTAAAAGCTGTTTTCGGCGAAAAGAGATGCCTATGCCGGTCGACAGAGAGTCTTTAAATTCGAGATGATTCAGAAAACCACTTTCTCAATTATTTAAGATACTTTCTGAGCTGTTTCACTCCAAAACCTCCATAATCAGGATCTTTGAAGCGAAATTACTTGACCGTGTTAAAATCGTCATGTACGCCATATTGGAGTGTCTTAGCTCAACTTACCGAAAAAGTAATTGGGACCATCGTGCACGCCTAGTTTCTTCAAATCGGGATCAATTCGCACAATACAGATACTTCCAATATTTCATTATTTTTCATGAACATGACGTATGTCGTTCACCTATTTATTATTACGCAGCGTTTCAGGTATTAGCCTTATTGCTGCTGTTTAGCTGAAGCTTGATGACTTCGCACTTTACGTTCGAAACCGCTTGTAATATCGTATACATGACTGGGGTTTTAGGTGTGTTACGATGCAACTACTTCTCAAACCTCTAATATTAAGACCCATGTATCTAGGCTCTGACCTAAAATTTTATTTTATTTTTGCAGACGAATGCAAGTATTGTGGCCAGTTCTTTAACCAGTTATCACCTTACAAAGATTGTGAACAAACTCGCATAGGGATGGTGCCGTATACATGCAAGTATTGCAAAAAGTGCTTTAGCCACTTTTCAAACTTGAACAAACATGAACGAACTCACACAGGAGTGAAGCCTTATGTATGCAAGCATTGTAATAAGTGTTTTAGTGACTTATCAAATTGCAGGCAACATGAACAAATTCACACAGGAGTTAAGCCTTATACATGCAAGTATTGTGATGTGTGTTTTGGCCGCTCATCAGATTCCAAGAAACATGAACGAATTCACACAGGAGAGAAGCCGTATACGTGCAAGCATTGTAATAAGTGCTTTAGCTACTCATCAAGTTGGAAGCGACATGAACGAACTCACACAGGAGTGAAGCCATATACATGGGAGCATTGTAATAAGTGTTTTAGCGACTTATCAAATTGCAAGCAACATGAACAAACTCACACAGGAGTTAAACCTTATTCATGCAAGTATTGTGATATGTGTTTTGGTCGCTCATCAGATTCCAAGAAACATGAACAAACTCACACAGGTGTTAAGCCTTACACATGCGAGCATTGTAAAAAATGCTTTGAGTACTTATCAAGTTGGAAGCGACATGAACGAATTCATACAGGAGTTAAGCCTTATACATGCAAGCATTGTAAAAAATGCTTTAGCCAATCATCCGATTGTAAGAAACATGAACAAGCTCACGCAGGAGAGAAACGCTATACATGCAAGCATTGTAGAAAGTGCTTTAACTACTCATCAAGTTGGAAGCGACATGAACGAACTCACACAGGAGTTAAGCCTTATACATGCAAGTATTGTAATATGCACTTTACCGACTTATCAAACTGCAGGCAACATGAACGAACTCACACAGGAGAGAAGCCATATGCGTGCAAGCATTGTAAAACGTGCTTTAGCCAGTATGCAAGTTGCAAGAAACATGAACGAACTCACACAGGAGAGAAGCCGTATACATGCAAGCATTGTAAAAAGTGCTTTGGTGACTTATTTAACCTGAAGCGACATGAACAAATTCATACAGGATTGAAGCCTTATATATGTAAGCATTGTAATATGTACTTCAGCGACTTTTCAAATTGCAAGAAACATGAACAAACTCACGCAGAGTTTAGCCTTGCAAACATTGTAAAAAGTGTTTTGGCCAGTCAGAAGATTTGAAGCAACATGAACGAACTAAAGGTCTAAATGTTGCTCTTAATTTTCTACTAGTCGTATTTGGTGTTTATTTTGACCTCGCGACAAAATGGTTGTTATTCAGTCCGTGAAGGATTTTGATTAAGCCTTCTCAAATTATAATACTCAAATTGCCGGGAATAAAGCTGCTTGCAACTTTTCATAAAGCCACTTGGAGAAAGAAATATTATTTTATTGATTTTTACCAACTATGCGTGGAGACATTTCAATTAATTGTTTTGCTATAAATAGTCTTATCCAAGAATAAAATTGATCTTGTTAATTAAGTCAATGATACAAAATTTCTGCAAAATTTCAGATCTATGCCCTAACAATTAAGGTACAGGGATTAGTAATTTAACTAGTAATAAACAAAGGTTAGGAAGTGCGGGCGAGGACGATGCATTTTTGGCTATTTGGGTAATGAAAGATTTGGCGGCCCATAAGGAGAAAGGCTTTGTTTCGCGGGGTCGAAATTTTTGTCCATGAGGACACCCCCCATGGCCCACCGCCTTTCTTCCTCTCTTTTGACACTGATAATAGAGTGATTTTACTAAACCTGTGACACAGTTACCAACACTAGATCATTCCACGAGACACTAGTTCCATTGTTTTGTTTTGCTTAGATTTAGTATGCTGTAATTGTTGTTGTTGTTGTTTCACGGTGGAAATAAAATCACCTTAGGTTATAAAATATACGTATTGATTGAGTCAAAATGATTGATGTAACGCAACAATGATTTACTTAAAATCATAACATGCAAAACTTAGAGATGTCATTTGAATGAATAAGAATGAAATCAAACAAATAAGGCACTTTGTTGATGTGCATGGTTTAAAATGTCACTGTAAACTGAAACGAAACGACCAATATATGAAGAAATTTCAGGTTATTCCACAATATAATGTACAAAGCTAAATGTTTTGTTTGTGGGAACACTTTTCAATGAGATCAACGACGAACAACAATCTCAGACTACACGCTTGTCAGGTCAAGGACGAACAACACTCCACGCTTGAAGAAAAGGACGAAGAGATACGACTCTCGCTCGACGCTTGAGGTCAAGGACGAACAGACGAACAACACTCGCTACTCGCATGAGGTGGAATGCGGTCGGAAAATGGCATCCAACGCGACATGAACGGAAACGTCGAATCCCAGATTGACACGCTCGATTTGGATTGGTCGGCGCTGCTGCTATGCGTGAGCTTCACGTGATCCAAGGTCCAAATTATTAAGTTAAGAGGAAAACGGTTTTTGTTTTGTTGTGGATGGTCATGAAATTAAGCGAAATGGCCAAAAATCAACGCCAGCACAGAAAAACTATTGAAGTCCTCAAACATTTTATGGCTGTTTTGAGAACTTTATTGATTGCTCTCACTATCCATATTAGAATAATGTGTATTTGGTTTTGCCCATTGCAGATATTTGCCATCGATCAAAGGCTATTCACAACACTATGAAATATGCAACTTACTCAAGATGAAGCCACGGAGAGAAATCAAATTGCCCAGTTCAAATGAATACTTATGCCTTTAGACTGATCATTGTTGAACATGATCCAGTGGGTTTCACTTTCACATGGCTTTTCTTGTTGTAGAAATACTAAACCAAAGATGGCCAATTAATTATGCATAAATTAGTGTCAATTGACCATTTTTGCAGGGGATCCCCGTAATTCAAAGGGAATCAAATATTTTGACCTACTTGTTTGCCTCAATCATTCACTCACCAAACCCAACATTTGAACCTAGTTTGAGCAAAATCGGTGATTTGAGCTGTATCACCTCACGCCTTGTTCTGCCTGATTTTCTCGTGAATACACTTTTAAAATGTACGACTGATGCAATTTGCTGATTATGAATGGCCAAAACTTGCTAAAGAACAAGATAGACCCGTTAGTTGTGTATAAGCTCGATATACAAATACTTGAGGGTGCACAACATCTGAGGCATTAATAAGCGGAATAAGTCGTACAGAACCAAACGTATAACATGCCAATCATGAAAGTGGCAAGAGTGTGTTAAGTCAACCTGCTGTGGAAAGTGACAATGATCGTTCTAGTTACTCTACACTGCAGTCCAATATGTTAGCATCTGTCAAGTTTCTATCAAACACGAAAACCCAGTAAAACACAGAACACGCAAACTTCGAAACGATCATCGTAGAATCTGAAAATAATTTTTTCGCTGCTTTTGAAGCCAGTAGACGTTCAGGACCGTAGCCAAACTTTCAACACAAATGGGCGGGCATTACATTCCCTTGCGCGAGGCTTGAGAGCTCTGAAAATGATATGCTTTTATTTATACAACGGCCTTATAACACCTTTTAACAAGTTAAGGAAATTGATGGAGAAATATCCTTGACTTTACTCGAAATCTTTGTGACCTTTGTACTTGCTACATTCTTCTCCCAAGACAAGGAGACGCCGTGTAATAAAATGGCCTTAGAGTTCATAGTAACGGACTGGTGACTACGCTTGACGGGCAAAAGACCACACACGGTCATGTCATGGATACTGCCAGCAAAGCATGATGGTCTACA